GTCATGCCCTGCCATACCCTACACTGTCCTGTCATGCCCTGCCCTACACTGTCCTGCCCTCACTGTCCTGTCCTGCCACACTGTCCTGTCATGCCCTTACCCTACACTGTCCTGTCCTGCCCTGCCATACCCACACTTCCTGTCCTGCCCCACCCTGTCACTGTACATGCCTGCCTCCTACACTGTCCTGCCCTGCCCCACCTGTTACCCCACTGTCCTGTCCTGCCTGTACCCCCACCCCAGCCACACTGTCCTGTCATGCCCTCCCTGCCCCAGCTGTCCTGCTGCCCTGCCCTGCCATGCCCTACACTGTCCTGCCTGCCTACACCTGCCCTGCCCCTGCTACACTGCCTGCCATACACTGCCCTGCCCCTGCCCACACCCTACACTGTCCCACCCTGCCCTGCCACCCTACACCTACCCTGTCCTGCCCTGCCCTGCCCTGCCATACCCCACACCCTGCCCTACCCTGCCCTGCCCTGCCATACCCTACAGTGACACTATCCTTCTCCTGATCTTTCTCCTACATTTCCATCTTCCTTATATACAACCTCATACTTCTACCACTCACCTCCATAACCTCACACTTCTCTCATACTCACAGGTTAATCTCTCTACCTCAGTCGATCTCACCCGTCACTCATCTCAAACCACCTATACTTCTCCTATCTCTGATCTCTCTCACTTCCTGTTCTCCTCTAGTCTCATTATCTCCTCTATATCACCCCCTCCAGTGTTTCATCTCCCTTGTTTTGTTTTTGTTTTTTTTACTGTCTCAATCTTCCTATTTTGTTCCCTACAATTTCTCCAGTTCTCCTGTTCTTACTTTATTTTTCTCGTGTCTCATTGTCTCTCTTATTCCCTGTTTTTTTTTTCCCTTCCTATTTATCCTTTTCCATAATTTTTTACCTTCGCTCTCTCTCTCTAGTCTTCTCTTCTTCCTTATTTTCCTATCTTCTCCATCTCTTTACTTCTTCTCCTTCTTCCAGCCTCCATATCTTTCTTATTTCGTCTCTCTCTCTCTCTCTCTGTTCTTATTCCCCATCTCCTGACCTCTCAACTTTCTACACCTCCCTCCCTCCCCCTCCTATCACTCCCCACCGCCTCTCAGGTTGGTGTTTCCGGCACAGCGAGCACTGACACTATATCACAGCTCGCTATCACCTACTATCACCAGCTATCACGTGTTATCACCCTCTTATCCCTCGTAGTATCATTCCTCATCGCTCGTGCCTCTTCCTCTCTCATCCCACCCAGCATCCACCCAACACAAGCCGCAAGAGAAATTAACACCATTAAAGTCGACACTCACACGTTTTAGCTTTGAGGAAATAGCCCTTATCGGTGTGTGGGTTTTAGGTGTATATTATGTCGTTCTTATATTAGCCACATTAAGAGATCTCACATCGTCAGGCTGAGAGAGACTGAGGGTGTACTTGGCAACAGCTGTGATGGAGTGGCACATGTAAAGTGAGTTGGGCTTTTTGTTTATGTTAATTTATATCACCTGTGTAATGTCTCAGGTGTTAGGTTGAGCAGGTATGTCTGTGATTAATTGGCTTATTCGTAAAAACTCTTATTTTTGTGGGTTATTATTTGATTATTCACCTTGATAAATACCAGGTCAGGAGAATACCAGGTTAGGACAAATATCGGGTCATGACAGCAAACACGAGGTCAAGACTACACCAGGTCCCAACACAGGTCAAAGACAATACCAGGTCAAAGGCAATGCCAGGTCAAAGACAACACCAGGTCAAAGGCAACACCAGGTCAAAGACAACACCAGGTTAAAGGGAACACCAGGACAAAAAGAACACCAGATCAAAGACAAAAAATAAGTCACAAAATCAGGTCAAGAAAAACAAAAGGTGGTGGTAAACAAAACCCACAACAACAACACCAGGACCTAAGATAGCAGACGATATCAGGAACGTGGCGCCCCGACTGGCACTTGTTGTAGGCGCCGCAGGGATGCTAATGTGACACACCGCTATCACATGTTATCTGAGGCCGTGTTATCTCTGGGCACACGCGTCTGGAAACTCAAGATTTATTTTTTTTTTCTCACGTCCTCTGTTCGATATAACAAAAACAAGTCCATATATCGTGAAATAATAAAGTTTTATATATTTTACAAGTAAGATTATATATTGTAAATATTCTTATTTATTGGTAAGTATAATAGATTATCGTGTATAATTCCGATTAAGCGTAAATATAATAAGAAACGTACCAGTGAGGTATTAGTGTGTAGCTAAATTGGATAAGATAATGGAATCACCCGAAAATTCTCCCCCTCAGTTTATTTCACCAGACGGAAACAGGAAACAAATTATCAAATGAACAACGTAGACATAGAGAAATCCTCAAACATATATACGAAATAATGATAACAAAGTACAAAGGGACATGTCTTAGGAACGTTAGTAATTGGAGAAGCGATGTTATCATAGTTCTTGATACATATATTTTTTTACTACACATATCAGATCAAACATGGATTATGCGGTTCAGTTATGGTCACCTTACTATAGAATGGTCACTGATTCTCTGGAAAACATTCAGAAGATAACAAAGATAATCCTAGACATTACGAACCTAAAATAAAAAAAAAAATGTGACTTTACATTCCCTTGAGAGACGTAGAGTGAGGGATGATATGATTGAAGTGTATAAATAAAAATGAGATTAAATAAACATGATATAACTAAAGTATTTAAACTATTTTGAATAGAATAGAACACAAAAGCAATGGTTTTAAATTAGACAAGTTTAGATTTAAGCAAGAATTAGGTAACATTGGCTTAGAAACAGACTTATGGGTTGACTGAAACAAGTTACCAAACATTATCATTAACTGGATCTCGGTGGTAAAACTTTATATATAGACTAGACACATAGACATATATTCGTTATAATGATTAGGTATAAACAGGGCTGTCTAGTATGGACCAATAGACATCCTGTAGTTTCCTTCATTATTGTGTTCATATGTAACCCTCTCAAGATAACACTAACATTTTCAATAAGGCAAAAATAACATGGGTGCCTGATCTTCATGTGATCCAAATACTTTCCCAAACATCGCAAAAAAAAAAAAAAAAACAAGTATATCCGCTCAATGTTTCTGCATATCTCAAGTTGTGGATATGTGGCAATGCTTATGCGGATATATTACCCTCGTTATCTTATCCTTTTCCTGTGACTATATATATATACGTCTCTTGTTGTTATCATCACTTGTCCTGTCGCCAACTGCAAGTCTCACCTACCTTAGCAATTCCTCTCTTAGTCTTTGTATAGTTTCTGTAACCCTCTTGAGTCCTACCCCAGAGAATAGTGAGAGAGGAGTGATAACAGATAGATGTATAGATAGATAGATAGATAGATAGATAGATAGATTTTATTATAGTAATATATAGAGGATGGATATGAGACGAATATCATGATAAACAGATGTGGGACTATGAAGGTAAGGTGTGAGGGAGGAGGATGATGAGAGGGAAGGGCGATGGAGAGAGGGAGGGAGGGAGGGAGGAGGTGAAGGGAAGGGGATCATTGATATCTCTGATACCATCTCACAGGATGCTGGGAGAGGGGGCGAGGGATGGACGGAGAGAGAGAGAGAGAGAGGGGTGAAGACAGACAAACAGACCTAACCTAACCAAATGTAACCTAATCTAACCTATACTATCGCCCCTGTTAGTGTTAGGATATTCACTTCCTCAACTGGAAAATTAGGTACCAATTTATATTTGCGTGGACTTCAGATGCCTTGAATGCGAACCAGCGTCCCTTTGGGGTAAGAGGTGAACATTGTATACACTCGGTCCCCGCACCCCTGATACATTATTAATACGCCACAAATCACCTCAACACTCTACTCTCTCCTCCTCTTTCTCCCTTCCTGCCTCCCCTGTACCACTGTCTCTCCCCCTCATCATCTCTCTCTCTCTCTCTCTCCCTCTGTCCTGGTACTTCCGGCTCTTATCACCTTATCAGCAGCTGCCACGTGGCCGTCTGTGATAGGTGGAGAGCCGCACAGATATCAACACACGTCCGTCCATAACCGAGTGTCAGATTGTCACCCCTCCCCCCTTCTCACTCCCCCACCCCCTCTAGTGTGACCTGTGACCTCACCTTCTCCTCTCACTCCCCGACCTAGATTTGTGGTCTTTCTCCCTCCCCCCTACCCTCCCTGTTCTTTACTCTCCCTGCCCCTCTGTCCTCTTCTCCCTTCATCTTCTATTTTTTCAGTTCTCTCCCTTTCGTTTTCTTTCCTGTCCTAATTCTCGTTTCTTCTTTTCCTATTTATTTTCAATCCCCACTCCCCTCCTTTATCCTTTCTCTCACCTCCCTTGTCCTCCCCTATTTTCTAGTCTCCCCTTCCTTTGTCTTCATGCCCCCTTTTCCCTTTTCTTCTCTCATTGTTTTCTTCCCCCTCCAATTCATCCCCTTTCTCGCCTTTCCTTTTCCCCTCATATATTCTTTGGTTTTCGTTCCTTCCATCTTTTTTTTCCTTCTTCACCTATTCCTTCCCTCACCCTTTATTCTCTCTTTTCATCCCTATTCTCTTCGTCATAAGCATTTATATAACCAGTATTTCTTAACAGGCCCCGTTCCTGATAAAACTCAACCTTAATAGACCCTGGTTCTAATAAGCCCCATCTTAATAGACACATATCTTATTCATTATGTTATGTTTAGTTTAATAACGAGGGGTTAGGTTAGGATACGTTACATTTCCTTAAATTATGTTAGATTAGGTTTGGTTTAATAACGTTGGGTTAGTTTGGGTTAGGTTAGGTTAAAGTTGATAGGTGATATTTATGTGTAATTCTGTGTACTTCAACAACTAAGGTATTTAAGAACGTCCTATAAGTTGGTCTATAACAGTATTAAACACACACACGTAGTCTTCGTAGAGAGAGAGAAGAAGAATATTTGCATCGATATTTTGATGACAAGTATGACAGAAATATATAGGTAGTACTCACACTGTGTAGTTTGTAGTAGAGGCCGCAGGCGTTGCACACTGGTTCACCGTTTTGGTTGCGTCTCCAGAGTGTTGTTGTTGAAGTCTTACAGTTGGCACAGCTGGTCCCCGCCCTCCGTTGTGCCGACTGTGGGAGGAGGAACACTATTGTCAGCTGGCTCGCTCTATAACACACACACACACACACACACACATCATCCAACAAGACATAAATACTCACATAACAATATCACCCACTGAGGTATATAACATAATTATAATAACCTGGCAGCAGTAAACTCACAAACAGGAGAGAAAACACCAACTTCACCTGTTTCTTGTATTGTACCTTTAACACAGCCATCTTATGCCCCTCTGTCCGTTCAAACACACCTTCTCGCCCGCTCCTCACCACCACACACAAACACATACACAAACACACACACACACACACACACACACACACACACACACACACACACACACACACACACGACCACCACCACCTCTTACTTTCTCGCACACGCTACAAATAACCATTGGCTTATGGCTGTAACATAAATGCAATCGTCTACACGTATGATCTGGGCTTACAGACGACGTGTGAGAGGTGTAATATGACATTAGCGAGAACGCGAGAGTAGTGGTGCCGGGGAGTGCCAACCACGCCCAGCTAGCCTAGGAGGGAGGGTGTGGAGGATAGCAGGTAGGTAGGGAGGGAAGGCTGGCTACGGGACGGGGGTTGTTGGCACACCTGGGAGATGAGAGAGGGAGGTAAAGGGAGAGGCGGAGGGAGAGAGGGAGAATGGATGCCAAGTACTCAGTGTGTGTGTGTGTATGTGTGTATATGTCTCTGTGTGTATGCGTGTATGTGTGAGAGAGAGAGGATGCGGTACACGTGCCAGGGGTTATGCGGCACTGTTGACGAGGTTACCGTGGAGTGGAGGGCCAAAGATACGCCTCGTCATTGTTGTGGTTGAGGGGGATAACAGATAGATTGTTGTATGTGGCATTGGCCCGCGTGTACAGGTCATAGTGAAGGTAGTGGCTTGAGAGCGTGTTTAAGAGCTGTAGAAGAACACTGAAGGAAGGACCAACAGCAAGACGACACGAAAAATTTAATCTAATATATAGAGTAAGCGAAGGATGAGGCTACGACTTGGTCATGATAATAATACTTTTAATAATTGTGTAAATGATAGAATGAGTTAGTGTGTGTGTGTGTGTGTGTCTGTGTGTCTGTGTAACATCGACTATTATTACGTAATCGTGTATTGGTAAGTGCACCTAACATTATGGCCACCAATGTTATAAAAGAATTTTGTCTCTTGATCTACAGCTGTCACGTGTCACTCTGCATGACTCACCCGAGACCTGTCAGGTAACTTGATGCCGCACAGTACGTCATAAAGAAGCATCAGTCTAATTAATTCTGCATTAGAAAACAACATAAGCTATTTGGTTATGTAGTCTGAAGTGAATTAAGTCTCATTCATAAAACCACATTTATTATACATTTTGAAATCGTTTCTTTACTTCTGTTGTTTTTCGTTAACTCTGTATTATACGAAACTTTATCGTCATATAAGGAACAGCATTTTGAATGATTAAATTACATACTGTCTGTTACTGTATTGATCTCTGTAAAACTGTCGGGAACTCCACCACCATTCTGTCGGGAACTCCACTGTGCTGCATTATATTTCAGTAGAATACATTTAAAGTTATCGTCCTGCACTCAGCAACGTACACCTCATCATACAATATCACAGAGCATTATACAGAGAGCATTATATACCTCATCATACTTCATTAAGCTCTGTGTCATTATATTCTACTTTTATTATACTACATTACAGAACCTGGGTATCGTACTGGGTAAATTTTAGACATCTCCAGACACTATATCACATTTTATCCTCCAATGACACGATACTGGTAGATTGTGTCATGTTACCGGGAGACAATACAGTCATCGGCTGACACTGTCCACCATCACTGGGAACCACCTCACTACCTCCCCTCACTCCATCCCTCTCTCCCTCCCATCCCTCTCCCTCCCTTTCCTCCACCCCCCTCCCCTCCCTCTCTACCGCATCTTCGTCCTCCAGTGTGGCGGTGATGCGCTTCCCATGAATATCAATTATCAATCTCCACTCAGCATCACAGTTGATCGTGGCTTGACGAAGGAGATGAGGAGGAAGGGAGCAGGGAGCAAAGGGGGGAGTAGGGGGATATCATAAGGGGGGGCTGTGAGATTGTGGGAAGTGTGAGATGAGAGAGATGGGCAGAAGGGGAGAGGAGGGGATCTAGAGGTAGCGTATGTCACCGATCACAACCAAATTAGTTCAGCCCGATGCTTCCCCACCTCCCTCCCCTCCTCCCTCCTCCCTCCCCAGTCAATCCCGCTAATTTACTGTCACCCCCCCCCTCCTCCTCAATACAAACTACTACACTAACAATACTATACGAATATTAAACGCTAAAGGAATTTCTATCAGTCATGTCTACGTTAATATGAAGATGACATGACACTGATTTAACGACGATGTACACCATAATAACGGGACTGGTGGCTGGTAACTGGCAGATAAGTGTCCGCAGGCGATGATGAATGAGCGAGTTTGATGCCGTTTATAATGGGATTT